GTGGTGGTAGGTGGTAGTAGTAGTAGTAGTCGTCGTCGTGGTGGTGGTGGTGGTGGTGGTGGTGGTAGTAGTAGTAATAGTAGCAGTAGCTAGTGGTAGTGGTAGTGGTGGTAATATATAATCGGAATACAGTCAGGCAGTTTTTTTCCGAAAAAACCAGAGGGTTTATAGAGGCTTTCCCATAGCCAAAGCATCAGAGGAGCTGGGTATCCCCCCCTTCCCGATTCGCAAATCCTGCCCCTAAGATTTTCCAGAATCCTTGTCGTGAGTACTAGTTGTAGTAGTAGAAGTAGTAGTCGTGGTGGTGGCGGTGGTGGTAGCAGTAGTAGTAGTAGCAGCCTTTCCCAATCCTCTAGACCCCAAGCTGCTAGACTCTTACCCATCCAGAACCCTGAGCTGAAACCTAGGTGATTTAAGCCCGAATTTAGGACTTCACCCAAGGATTCCCCTACCCCCCCCCCAACCCAAAGCTGAAACCAGGTTTGAGATGGTTTAAGGAAATTCTTAATTCCCCCCCACCCCCCCTCTTTAGGTAGTGGTAATGCAGGGACCAGGGCGCTCGGAGTCGCCATTGCGGAGGGGAAAGGAGTGGTTTACATCGGAGAGGTGCACGTACAGCAGTTGCGCTGGTGGATGATGCGAATCGAGTGGAGAGTGGGATGTGAAATTTAAAGTGGAGTCAAGTAGAAAGTCGGTGTGGCAAGTGGAGAGTGGACTGGACTGGAAAATGGAGTGGAAAGTCGGGTGCTGAGTGGAGTGTAGAGGAGTGTGGAAAGTGGACTGGGAAATTTGCGTAGGAAGTGGGGTGGAAGTGAAGTGTAAAGTGGACTCGAAAATAGATTTTGAGAGTGGAGAAGGGAGCGTGGAGAGTGGAGTGGTGTGTGGTGAATTCAGAGTGGATTGTCGAGTGTGGATTGTGGAAGGTCCCTTGAAAGGTTTTGGAGAGGCTTTTCAGATCTGTGTGTGCGTCTTGCTTGGATTGCCCTTCCCTCCTCCCGTTGTACTCCTGTGCTTACGCCTGGGTAGCTTTCGTTGGCCTCGGCTCGCCCTTGGCTGCGAATCAAAAATCTCGGATTTGAAAAGGGCTTTGGTGGCCATTCCGCAACACGGGCTCGCAGCAGATCTGCCTGGCTTGCGACAAAGCTCGATTACGGCTTCTACGTAACAGGCATTCGCCACAAAGATATGGACCCATCCAAACGCTAGAGACTCAATTCACCATGAGCTTCGGCCTTTGCCAGGACAAGCCGTGCACAGTACGAACACAAAGCTTTCGCACAAGCTCAAGGCTGGGAGGTTTATTTCCGCGGCTGACTGCCGGTGCGCAAGTCACTCCTGCTGGAATCCTAGAGTTGCGCTCGTTTATGCGCAGGATTTCAGTGCTTTTGTTTGATTCCCATCTTGTGTTGGGGCCTGTTGGGGCGATAACCGATAACCTGTGGGCTTGCTCATCAGACGATGCCTTGCCGCGCGACATGTCTCTCTTCATGTAATCAAGTCATACTTACGTGTTATTGCTTCCTGCAGAAGGATTTGCACGCGCAGCAAGCCTTCCGTGCTTCCGCCTGAGTGCCGATAGATTAGGCCCACGATGGTCAGACAAGGATGAGAAAGCCTCTAAACGTGGTTGAAGGTCTACACCAGTCAGCCAAGCTTGGAAACCGCCCAGAGCAGGTGGATTCAGCAGATAGCCTCATAGCTGAGATAGAAATTGCGCGAAAGAGCTTGACAGACTTTCGCGGACACGCATGCTAAGCGCATGATCGCTTCGCTCCCTCCAATCTCACCGCCCTCACCTTAGAGCTGTACAGCTTTCGCTTTCACTGAAAGCATGTCCTCACGAGTGTGCAGAGGTGGTGAAGCCAGCGGCGAGGCTGGGACATGATGCCGATTGCAATGCTTGTCCCAGTCGTTGTCCTTGCAGCTGTGTGCTTCTGTTCCAGCAGCTCAGGATGAGAACTGAAGTACTTGCTCCATGTTTCACCAGGACGCCTCACCAAATGGAGACCCGGCCCAGGAAAAGTCCAAGCTCCAACCGTTGGCAGCTTCAATGAACGCCTAAGTTCACATCGACATTTGGTCATACCTTTGCATTTGCTGAAGTTCTAGGGTCATTGGGCCAGTGCTTACTCTACAGCATGACTGTTTGCGCAAAATCTCAGGCAACGAGTTTGCGCCACGCATCACATTCGCAAAGAGCAGGAATTTGACGCATTGCCGTTGGATTTTGTGCTACATACTCAAACTGACTGGGTCTTGCGTTGTTGGAGGCCAGCTCATTACTGTAGCTGGGCGTCGAACAGGAGTTTGGTTAGATCCCAGCACCTCTCGAGACCACGCTGTCAGTGGCCGTTAGGTGCAATTTGAAGGAATCCAATATCACCCCAGGGGGGTAGGTGGGGTTAACTGATTGCATTTTCGGCAAGCATTCATTTTTTCTTCAACCTCTCCATACAATGATTGAAGGGGGGTCGGAGGGTTCACAGCATGGAACGAGACAAGGGGTTTGGGCGGAGGTGCTGGGAAATGATTGCAGAGGTCAGGGGGTACGGGGTTGGGCGGTCTTGCAATCAATTTCCTGTCCTATATTGTTTGTGAAAGCCACGGCTCTGTCGCACACCGCGACAAGGGATTTGGGTGGAGGGAGGCGGGCGGGGAAATGATTGCAGAGCAGGGTGGTGGGTTGGGGGGTTTTGCAATAATTTTCGGCTTGCTTCTTGTGTAAGACATGACGTAGAGTGTCCACCCAGAGGGCCAGAAATAATTGCAGAGGGGGTTTAAGGCGGGAATTTTTGCAGGGTCCATTTGTGCCGGTCACCCTGCGTAGCACAGCTGAGCGACTAAATCATACAACAAATGCTGTCTACCCACGCGGCCATTGAATTGGGTCAGTTCATGATGCTGAGAACCTCTGTTCTCTGGTGTCAGTAGCAGTTAGGTACACTTCACTGCGGCATCCTTGTGGAAATTTGACCGCAGCTCCTTGCTAGCCACCGTGTGGAGGGGAATGGGGCAGCATGCGTCGTAGCCAGAGCCCTGCTGTGCATCATGTTCGCAGTATCACACCTGCGCCTGCTTGCGCCTGAAGGTGCATGTCTTCTCAGCTGCATACCGCAGTGCAGGCAGCCTTGAAGGGCTGCGGGAGCTTGGCTGAGGTAGCCAGGCCCTTGTGATCGTCAACCAGTTCGCGCATGATGCACATGAGCTGAGCAATCTGAGGATGAGGCTCTAGCCCTGGTCCGCCGCGATGCTCCGGGGAGGGTGCGCCTACCTCTTCGCAATGAAGCCCCCAACACGTGCAGCTGACGTCATGACACTTTTGCAAGCCAACACTTACGAGAGCATGCTTGGCTATGTGTGTATCAAGCTCCGGCCGCAGGGGCTGGATTCACCTCTGCGCTCAGCTGTCACTGCCGCTGGGCAACACCTTAAAGCTAAAAACTGTTAACCTTTATACCAAGCCACTGCTGCTGATGTCACACCGCGTGTTGCAAGACAGGTTTGCATGGATAGCAGCGGAGGCTGATGGCATAATGCACGCCATGCAGAGCTTGAATTCAAATAACTATCTTCACAGCGTCATGGAATGCAAGAGAGACTACGAGATGTTGGCACACTGGCGCACCCTGCAAATGACAAGACCGTCACAGTCAGCATGCGCATGTTAGCCTCGCAATCCCGTGGTCTGTGTTGGAGTCTGATGGAACAAGAACGCTGGCGGCCAGACTTTAACATTTTGGATTTCACGGGGTGCTTCGGAGGCAAAGGAGTCACCAACACTGCCTGCCCAGGCACTGCAAGCGTGCACGCCAGAGCCCATCCTCGCTCGCCTTTTTGGCCTGCCAAGACTATTTCCGCTTCCCCTCCTTGTGTTGTGGTGTGACTATCTGCGCACCCTCTCAGCAGCAGCGTCATGTTTTCACTGTTGTTGTCCTCATTTGTGGCCTCGTTCTTACCCTTGCTCTCTTGCTCATGGGCCGTTTCCGTGGTCGTCTAGCTAGTTGTCATGGAGGTTGTTTTCGTCGCTGTCATGGTCGCTGTCCATTGATTTGTCTACGTGACCAACGTCCTGAACAGGGAACACAGCTTTAAGGTTGGGGAGTGCAAGACCAGCATACCCTGCTGGCTGGGAGAGACGAAGAACATCTTCAGCCTCTTGTCTTGATCCCGGTCTCAGACATGAGACAAAGCATTGCACAACTTCCATTGGCTTGCACAAAGTCCGGCCAGGTCAATGTCCCGGCATGCCACTGCAACATCCCTCTTCAGATACCCTTTATTCAATGGGTGGGATACCCCGGCTTAAAACCCGGAATCAATGCACAGTATAAGACCGTGTTGAAACAAGTATATAACAGTATATATATATATACATATATTATATGTACTTGTTATGTTCTGCCATGCCTGAGTTTTTTTACTTTACACCTCCAGCGCCCTAGTACTTGATACCACGTCCCGTGGCTACCTTCTGGCAGGATTATGTGACGAATATGTAGGGATTATACAGGGATTATGTGAGGATTATCTAATCCTTGTATGATCCACTAAGCCCTACATAATCCCTATGTAATCTTCACAGAACCCCCCCAAAAAAAACGCACTCACGGGGACGTGGCACTAAGCACTGGTGCAAGGGAAGTGTAGAGTAACAAAGTATAAAAATGAGGCATGGTAGCACATATATATGTATATATATATATATACACGCACACTTGCATATGCACGCTGTGCTGATACTGTTTATGGGCGCGCTTCCTTTATTTTCTTTCATCTTGTCATATCTTCGGGTTATCTCAAAAGGTTATACAAGCTTCTTTTTTGTATATTGATGTGCCCCCTCCCATTTTATAAAAGATACCGAAGGCTCAACCCCCGGGAAAGCCTGTGCCATAGTGCCATATCCAACCCAGATGGCAAAGTCACTGCCTTGACACGGAGTATCCGCGCCACCGCCACCGACACTTACAACCCCAAGCCCGACAGATGGCACTAGGCTGAGATTGAACATCCCTGTTCAGCTCTTCGGATGCAAGCGGACAGGACAGGAAGCACACGATTTGCAACCAGCGCGAAACTCGATTTACTGGCTTCTCGTTTCCTACTTTAACGGTCACCGTACAAAGGTTCGTCCGTTTTGTCTTCTGCAGGACACCTTTCCGCAAGCCTTTCCCTCCCGCTGTGTCTCCTAAAATGCTGGTGGGAACTAATCTTTTTTGTTGCAACATGCCCTCTATTGTCGTGTTCCGTCTCTCAAGATCTTGTTCCACCTCCATCTTAATTCCTGACTGCTGGCCTTACTGGCCTCCTGAGATCCACCTCGGTCTCCTCCAGCCGCAAACCCCAACAAAGCTACATACCCGAATGCATCCTCCCCACCCAACCCTTCATACCTTTTTTGTGTGCAAATCTGTCTTTGATCTTGGTCCTGCTTTGCTTGTCTTCTCTTTGCGCTTGCAGGCTTTGCCCCCCTCATGTATTTGTTCTGCGGGTAGCCACACATCAGCAGCATGTTGCGATCGTTTTTGACATTCGAGCCCTTCGAAGGTATTCGACGGTGAAGTCTTCTAGCTCGTGAAGCACCACCTGCTTCAACAGCATTGCATGATGGTTCCCATAAATGTGGATGCCGTCGAGGAACAAGTGCACCAAGAGAATCTTGCGTGAGCGAGTGAGTTACTTGTGGTAGATATCTCTACATTGGCCCGGTTTTTTATGCATCGATTGAGCGTCTACTTGAGGAAGCCATCTCTTGGGATTGGCCACTGCTTGACAACCTAGTGAAGAACATGCTGTTTATGACAGCATCTACAAGCAGTTTGGTGGTTTCAGCACGACATCATGTGGTCTACTAGCATTGCTCTGTACCAATCTCCCATAGCAAAAGCAGTATTTTGGTGGGCTCCTGTTGTTTGATGCAAAATCGCCTGGTAGGCGACAAGTCTGCGCGTTCGTTCCGGCTCTTCCAAACACAGCGTCTCCCTGGGGATTTGCTGATGTAGGGTGGCCAAAATGCATATGAAACGTACTGCAAACGTTAGCGTCTGCCACAGAAGCGGAATTTTTACACCTTCTGTAATACAGCTCTTCAAAACACAGCGTCTCCTTCGGGCTTGCATCCCGTGATGTACGATTTCCCCAAAGCTGCATATTTTCCATGATGCAGCGCCTACATGAAGAGATGCATATTCGCACCGACTGATGTGTGGTAACCCCGGCAAAAGTAGCGAGTAGCTGCACGAAAGTCTAATGCGCCGATTCCTCCCGGCTTTTTGATGCTTCATTGAACGAGCAACGCCAGCTTTTGCAGAACCACCACCGGCAGGCTGGCGAAGGGGTTAGGGGCAAGACAGCATGACATCCTCAGCCGGCATCAGCCGGTCCTCGCCGACACCCGTGCAGTAAGGCTCTCTTCTCGAAGGTCCCCCTACGAGCTACTAGGCACAGTTGACATCCTTCTTCGTCGCGCCAGCGCGTTTGTTTAAAGACCCCTGAAGATACGAAGTGCTTGGCGCGGCCAGTGCGATCCTGCAACCCACTGACTCCTTTGCTGGTGCAAAGGTGAAACGGCAGGGACTTGCCCGCCTACCTGCCCTGCAATGAGGTCCTTTTACAGTGTATACTGTCCGAATAGCGAGGTCACAGCTAAGGCCCTGGCCGACACAACCAGACGCTAGAGATAGAATGAGTGCATGCATGCACCTGAAAACTGAAAACCACCCAGGTACCAGGTGCGAAAAGGCCCCTACCACCACCAACGACGAAGACAACGACGGCGTTGACCGCGACGACGTTCGTGCCAGACGGAGTGCTCATGAAGCCCCAAGCTACTCAGGAGATTGGCTTCGAGTCTGAACTCTGCCATGTCACGTGCTGGCCATCCCCGTGAAGCTCGCTCCTTTGCTCGAAAATGATTTGGAAGTGTGCTCCACGATACGAGCAAGAGTTGGACATTCCAGGAGACGCTTTGGGCCCCCATGGGCCCCCGCGAAATGGTACCAGGGGTGCTTGCTCAACGGGCTGTGAAGAGTTCTCTGGAAAGAAACTCCCATGCTTGGAATGAGTGGGGGAGAGGGGTAGCTGGACGGGGCGCAATTGGCAGCGTGGCAGCCGTTTTCGACGGAGAGCGATCAATGAGAAGAACTTGCAGGTGAAGTTGGAAGCAGCTGGCTTCTTGTGTGCTGCGTTGTGTTTGGCAGGCCTTGGGTGCGGGGGCATAACTGGACAGAACCTCTCTCCGCTGCTGGCCCAAAGGCCCTCTTGATTATGGCTGCGGGGGAGGTAGAAAACTTTCCCTCCCTCCCACCCTTGGCTACTCCAGTGAGGTAGACGGGGGCGTTTTCATTCATGGGAGGTTGGCACTGGGTGTGGGAAAGCCCTTTGCCTTAAGTCCTTGCAAGAACCCATGCAAACTGGGATCACAGGTGCTCAGCATCCAACTAATTCTAGTACCATGTTCCCAGAGTCTGAGATTGCACGTCAGATTCGCAGAGCCAAACATGCCATGCCAATCAGGAGGTTGAGGTTGCCTGTCAGTTATTCTTGTTGTTGCTGTTGTTGCCGCTGCTGTGGCTTCCTGCTTTCAAAGGCTTGAGGTTTCTGAATCGAACAGAGGCTTCTCCTTTGCTAGGGAGGTGTGGAGGGTGTATGTTGTTCTTCCTTTTTTGTTATATGTTCTTCTTTGTTTTGGTCTCCTCGTGCCGTGGTCCTCTGGCCCCTCAGAAGGAAGGAAGGGACAAGGCTCCTCGTACGATTCTCATTACAATTATCAGTACTATCAATCCCATTATTGCAATTATTCTTGCTGTTATTCTGATCATTACAATTATTACTTTTATCAGTATTGTTCGTATCTCCATTACTATAACTATTTTCATGTTTACTGTTCTGAATTCTATTTTTTAATTACCATGATTTGTTCTATTATGATTGTTAAGCAAGTGTCCGCACATGTTTTCTCAAAATCAAGCTGTGGCATGGAGGGTCCTCACATTTCGCGCCGCAATTAGATCTTGCGTGCAGCGTCCTCGGACTTTTGCTCAAAATCAAATTCTGGCGCGGATCGTGCTCCCAAAAGGAAAAAGAAGGGGGAAAGAAGAAAAGCAAACAAATAGATAAAGAAACAACTCCAGTCCCGCAGAAGGGTCATGAAGATCCTTTGGCGGCGTAGCGAGGAGAAGTGCAAGCCTGAGGTTCTAACGTGCGCATTTGAAAGACACCCGGGGAGAGCAAAGCCTCTCTGGTTGAACTGGAGGGGAGAGGGTGCGACGGCAGAGTAGGAATAGACTGTTAATTAAGGATTCCTGAGGCAGGGAGGGGGGATGACAAGCAAGAGGATCCCAATGCTGAAGGAAATGGCAAACTTTCTCACCAGTTGCACGATTTTGCAGCTTGGCACTGGGAAGTGCAAAGTAACAGTGGTAGATTGGCTTTCACAGCATATTGGCCCCCTGTCACCTCTCCGCCGTATTGCCTGTGAACAGTATCGGATCAAGTTTATCATGGAATCAAGCTCTGAAAGTGCCATGCGCTTTACAGCATTGCAGCGGAAACGGCGCATAAGTTCCTATGGCAAGAGCAGTGGTACCCCTGCAGACGATCCATTGGCATTGATGGCCCAGCTTCCGCATCCAATGTCCAACCACACCTCACCCATCTTTGCACACCTCGCGTGCCCTACCCCAAGCAATTTGCAGTATGTGTAGGCATTTGTTTGCATGCTGCCAACGCAGCGGGCCTGAGGGATGAATTGGGGTTTGAGTTTGCGGCTGCACCGGTTGAGGAGCTCTTTTCTGTTGTTTTTCGGTCCAGGCAGCGTTTTGCGACTTTTTTCTGGCATTGTCTTGCATGCAAGGCATCTCATCCCCGATTGGTGAAGCGCTTGCTCCGTGGGCAAGCAGATGTCAACGTGAAGGACTCCGTGCTTTCTGTGACTTACAGCTAAGCAGCTTTCCGTGTGCCCAGCGAAGAGCCAATAGTCGAGCTCTACATGCAACAGGACTCGCAGGGCGTTACGCCTCTTCACATTGCCGTCTTCCAGGGACGGCCTCACATAGTGAATTTGTTGGCGCTGACCTCAGCAAGATGACCAATGATGACAGCGTCAAGATTCAAGATGGGCCATACCAAACCATTCTAGCCTAGGGCCAGCAAAATTTAAACGGTATAACTGCAACTGCTCTGAGCCTAGTTGAGCGCAGCAGCTGATGCGAATGCACGCGACTGTCACGGCCAGTCTCCGGTATGAGCCTGAGTTGACATTTCCTGTCGCGCAGGCCGCGAAAAAACAACCTGCGCGACTTACTTGAAATTCCCCGGTCTTGTCAGATCTTCTTTGCGCCCTCACGGCAAATCTGTGAGACGCTCGTGGCAAGGCACTTCTTCATGGAGAACGATCTGAAGTTGTTGCAGATGTGTGATGTGACCCGGCGCAGGGCTGCAGACCTCAGCGTGGTGAACACCAGAAACCAGACGGCTTTGCATCTTCTGGCCCGGGCAGGACGCAGAAGTTGCCAAGTCAGTCTTGAATCGAAACATGTGATCGTTGGGGCTATACCTTGCGCATGTCCAACTAGCATCCTATTGAGGGATGCCCACTTCTTCTGACGTGATTATGGCTGTTAATCGCATCCCGCTTCACAGTGCAAGAAGGTGTCATCAACACATGCTTGTTGCAGGTAGTAGCTTGAGAATCTAATTGCGTCGACCTTCCTGAAAGAGATGCGTGATTGAGAGGGTCAGGCGAGATGAGAGCACCAATGCTTTCGTAAGTTTCGTGCCAAGCAGGCGCTGAGTTGCTGGACTCTTGGCGAACGAAGTGCAGAGACATGCTTCAGGAGTTTGGAGATCTGCCAAGGCATTTCGCTTTTTGAGAAGATGTATTCAACGTGTACTTCCTGCCAAAACGTATGGCGGAAGCACTGTACTACAGTACTGTAGCCGTACACATCAAGCCGAACCCTGGAAAGCAAAAGGACTGCTGAAACGCGACCCCTCTTAAGCGTCCCATCCCCAAGAATGGGAACCTAAGACATGTAGATATGCAATTCCACGAAGTTTGGAATGGCGGCATCCTCGTCCTCCTCCTCGTCGTAGTAGTAGTAGTAGTAGTAGTAGTCGTAGGAGGAGGAGGAGGAATAGTAGGTTGTAGTAGCAATCCCTACTAGATGCATTATTCCTCGCTGCCAATTGGCTACGACGGAACTCGCTGCAACTCACCCATTCTGTTTGGATTTCTGCTGATGTGGAGGCTGCCTTTGATTCTGTAAACTGGAACAAACTTCGTGATACACTCTTCCTGATTTCGGATCAGCAAGTATACCCGGAGATTCATCGGCTCATGCACGAGATCTTTTCTCATTGCTCACTGTTGAGTTTTCAGCCTCGCTACAGGGTTGAAACCAACCAAAGGAACCCTTCAAGGCGGCAGTCACAGTGCCCAAGTGTTCGCCATACTCATTGAGCAAATTTTTCGAAGGATTCACGCAGAGTGGGGCCGGCAATTCCCGGGGCAGGTTGGGGCCTGGGCCTTCATTGATGACTGCATGCTCGTCCTCAGCTCCTGGGAGGTTGCTCAGCGCGTCATACCGTAGGTTGTCAAGGCGCTCGCCGAGTGTGGGCTGCGGTGGAATATGGGCAAAACTACTGTCATGTCCACATCCAGTATGCTTCAGATGGGTCGCCTTCGCATTCCACCTACCCATGTGCTGTATCAATGTCAGTGGGGGAAAGAGTTCGTTACTTGGGAGTTGCACTTCAACATCCAGCTTTAGATTCTGAAGAGGGACTCACACTTACTCTACACCTCGTACCTCAGTGCAAGCAACGGGTCATTGTAGGTGTCCAACAGCTGCAACGCATTCTCAATCGCGGTCATTGGCAGCGATGGGATGTTACGGTGGGGATTGGATGCAATCGATGCACTTGACTATCTTGTGTCATGCCCTGAAACTCTACATCCCCGAGCGGCTGAAGGGTTCTCAGGCGAGTGGCCTAAATCGCTTGAGGAGGCGGGGCATCAGAGAGCTTCTCCGACTAAGAAAACCCGGGTTGCTCCGGAGTGTGGCTTGGCTTCATCGAAACAACGGCTATCTTGGTCACTTGCTGCGGCGTTCCTCGGATCGCCTGGCTCGTCAGGAACTTCTCTGCTCAATGAGCCAACAACGGCGTGGGCCTGCCAGTACCTGTCATGTGTCGACAATTCTTTGGATGCCCTATGCTGAATTTGGAGACCTTGTCCAATCTTTACGTGGATAATGTGGCACCCTAATTAATGGAGGGATCCGGAATAATGA